AACGCTCAGACCCGTCGATTTTGTGTTCGAGGGTGACACAAGTTTGGCAAAAAATCACGTTAGCACGTGCAGCCCCTAAGCGGGGGTGACACCACCCACAAAATCTTAAATGGAAAGGGGGGTCGAGTGATACCTTATTTTAAAGGACCCCACATGAAGAAATCCAAAGGTGATAAATCTGGCGATCTTGGGGGCCATTCAATGGCACCTCTTCTACCAATCCATCGATCTGGAAACGTCTGATCTAAATATTGTCGAACACGTAATGCGTAATGTGGTGGGGCACATCAACCTATTCGCAATGTATCGCCGATCATTCTGATTTTCAATTATGGCTGTTAATGCAGGATCTATGGCGTCTTCCAGTAATTCCAAATACCAGACCAAATATTTAATTTTTGTGGCTGCTGTGTATGAACCTCATGATACATTCTGGAATTAGAATCGGACCAATATCGGCAGTTATGATGATTCACTATGCCATTTAAGAAAAAGGAACATTCATCGAAAAAGCAAGTGTTGAATAGAAAATGTTCATCGTTTATAATTCGTTCACTCATATCTTCACAAAATTGTAATCGCCGATCAAAATCTTCTTCATTAAGTTTTTATACCAGGTGAATTTTATACGGTTGAAACCTATGGGCCTTTAGAATCCGTTGGACAGTACGTCGACTAACACCACACACAGTCTCCAATTTGCGGGTACTTAACGTAGGATCTACATAAACTTGCCCTAAAACCCCCACTCTATTGCTTCGTTCCTTATGGGATTTTCAATGTTGCGTTTTTTATTGGCGACTGACCCAGTTTCCCGAAATTTAGCTACAAGTTCTAGAACATATTTTCGATGCACGTTACTGTTCTCATTAAATATTTCTGCTGTTCTATTAGCGCACTGATTATTTCCGAAAAATATTTCGATAATTTCAACTCTTTCTGCTGTGGAATATACCATGGTTAATTTATGTAATAAAGCGTTACAAGTTATTTTAGCAACAAAGTTTGGTCAAATCAATCGCAAACTATCTAATAAATTCCTATTTAAAATAAGTACGAGATATTTCCTTATCTTTCTTCAAGAAATAACAATGATAAACAAACCATGGGCGTAGTGAAGAAAAGGATTTACTTATTAAGTAAATTCTTTTAGTCAAATTTCTTCTGAAAGTAGTACAAACTAATCTGATGTACCTATTAAAGTCTACTTTAAGCTTTAAATCAATAAATCTTCAAAACTACTGAACTGAAGCTCAGGTATTTTACATAATTATAAAAGGAATTGAAAGACCTTTAAAATAAGGTATCACTCGACCCCCCTTGCCATTTAAGATTTTAGGGTTGGTGTCACCCCCGCCCAGGGGGCTGCACGTGTTAACGTGATTTTTTACCAAACTTGTGTCCCCCTCGAAAACCAAATCGACGGGTCAGAGCGTTTTTCCAAAAAAAAACTGAGCTGCCAGTAAATGCGTCTGTTTCGTTTTCGATGCGCCACCCTGTATATATTTTTTTTTATACTCCAACTACCACGAAGGCCTAAGGCCTAAACACCCATTGGGTACCGTGGGGCTATAGGGGATACAGGGGAAAAGGGGGACGCCACACGGACTCTGGCGAGGGAACACGTGTGCATGCAACTTGCACACATTCTGGCTCCGCCTACGAGATCCGCCGGGTGGTACCTCCGCATTCGACAGTCAGAGACCGTCTACCACCTACGGACAATCATAACATCCATAGCCAAGAGAAAAATTTCTCCTGGGACGGGATTCGAACCCGCACAGCGCACGGCGACTGATCAGGGGACCGAAGAGTCTACTACTGCGGCCACCGCTGCTGCCTCAATCATCATCATACCGATACCGGAGCTCAAGGTTGGTAAGGCATGGTAAGTAATATATGAATACCATTTAATATCGGCAACAGTACATTCTAGTTTTTACGCATAAGGAAACAAGAATACAAACATCTACAAATTTTAGCAGAAATTTATTGATGTTATATTTATATGAAATGCTTGGCTACAGAATAGGTCATATAGAATAATATAGCAGCTCCAGGTTGATATAAAAGAATTCTGGAAGCAGACTCCAGGAAGCAGTATGTTATGGTATGTGCTATTCTGGTGATAGTGTAGATCCTGAACATCATAATCGTAGCATTTACTGAAGGGTTGGTCAGTAAATACAGAAAACTTATTATTACGAAGAATGGGATATTCTCCAAGTCATTCAGGTGGGCTCTGTAATACAAAGGGATAAATTTTCAGATTATTCTTCATTGATTCTTACAGAAATGCTTTTTAGAAAAAAAAATTGTTTAGTAACAGTTGCAGCTTTCAAGGTTTTAGTTACTTTTGGGAGTTAACTATGCTATAAAGATATGCGACATCCATTATGTATTAAAATTTTTATATGAAATCCTTTTATATGAAAACTTGTATAACAATTCTTTACAGAATGTCGTTTATCACTATTGTGTCGTTTACCTTCTGTATCTTTCGATTTTTTCATGAGTTCTAACTTTTTCCCCCAACAATGCTCCATCCTCAGGATTCATGGCCACCTGTAACAAACCATTTTATGTTCTTATTCATACAGTGGACTAATATATCACCGAATTAGACTTAGTATACCTTCTACCTTGTCTTGCATTTGAAGAAACAAAATATTTCTATTGGGTCAACCGTATAGTAACAATTGATAGCGACCGTCAGATGGAGAAACATTAAATCATATATGTTTATTCCATCTGAAAATTTATAGAACTTGAAGATTTATTTTTATACAGTTAAAAGCGCGGAGTGATAATTTTGCTTCGAAGTGTACAATGAGTATTTTATTCCCAGTTCTACCTAGGTTGTATCGCACTTTCCCTAAGACAGTTCTAGCAAGGCCGCTGATCCCTCCTTTGCTACAGCCACTTCTCATAAACAGGTCAATATTTATTACATCATCATAAGGCGCAGGTGTCAATAACACTATCTACTTTGCTATTATCTCTCGCTGTGATAAATAGTTGGAACACGCGAACATCCGCAAAAATATTTTCGAAATCCTAATTTCAAAATCACTTCATTTTGCTCAACCGACTGAAAACAATATTACAAGGTGTCTGGACCCCTTCTTTGAATAGACTGCATACAATGTGTTTGGTCACGACATACCGATATTTGAGGGGGATATTTTTCAGCTATTTTTATCAACAAATCCACCCCTATAATGTCCTAAATCATCCCCCTGGAATTGGGTCCATATCGCTGCGAACAAAATTAGGGCTGACACGGATATGGTCTGCCGCCCAACAAGACACATTATTTTAAGAACAACAATGTGCATAACCAATAATGGAGGACATTTTGAACAGCTTCTGTAACATTAAACATGTCCAAACTCTCTATAAGAAACAGTGATTTGTCATTTTTATGAATAAAAAGTTTGAAAACAATTTGCATTTTATTACAACCATTTTGACCCATGTTAAATAGCATTTATTGCTTAACGTAGAATACTTATGATAACAAAAAGCTGTAGAATTAGCACAAAAAAGTACAACTTCACTGACTAGTTTTTGAATGGTGTGCGGAAATGCACAAAATAATCAATTTTCTTCCATATTTTTTTCTGTTTTTGTCTGTTTTCAGTATGTTTGACGGTTAGTATCAAAACAAGTTTTTCAATAATCGCTAGGACAACGTGCCATGGTTCAAATGACACCAAATATATCATTATGTGACACTTACGTACTCAGTTATTACAATTTTCATACATGCACTACTGTAATCGTCACGTAAAAATAAAAATGGCCGCCATTTCAAGGGGGATGAGGTAGGACATTGTAGGGAGGTGGATTTTTCGATAAAAATAGCTGAAAAATACCCCTCTTAAAAAACTGAGCTGCCAGTAAATGCGTCTGTTTCGTTTTCGATGCGCCACCCTGTATATATATATAGAGAGAAAATTATCATGCGGAGAAAGGTATATAACATAAATAGGAAAATAATGGACAAAATCCGCAAAAAGTGGATCGAGCAGGAAATAGGATAGGTAACCCGAGCGATACGTATTTCTGCTGATTGGCTTCATCAGGCCCGAAATGAATGCACATATGCAACTACAAAAGTAGAGACACATGCCCATACCATCCGGATGCGGGTGTAACCTGAGGAAACAAAGTACCACAGCAAGTGGCTATAACCGGCCGCGTGGTTGTGGTTATTTGTCGCCTTGAAAATTCGAGGTCTTCTAGCCATTTTATACTACAATGTGTAGGTTGGCTCTTGTTGTGGACTTCGTGTGTCTCTCCAACTTTGTTTCCTCAGGTTACACCCGTATCCGGATGTATGGGCATGTGTCTCTACTTTTGTAGTTGCATATGTGCATTCATTTCGGTCCTGATGAAGCCAACCAGCAGAAATACGTATCGCTCGGGTTACCTATCCTATTTTCTGCTCGAATCCACTTTTTGCGGATTTTGTCCTATATATATATATATACCGATACCGGAGCTCAAGGTTGGTACAAAACTAATATGTACGTAACAGGTATGAAAATCAGTTCCTTTTGGCAGATTAATCTGATGGGCTATGCATTACACTTCTATCATCAAATACTCGTAGTTTTAATTTCACGTAATTAGTGATATTAAATAGCTTTCTTGTATATATGTTTGTTGTAACATGTTGTAGGTATTAAAAAAAATTACGTCAAGTAGGTTGACTATGCAGTTCATTAAGCATTATGTTCAGCACAAATAAGACCCTCTGAGAAAAAATCAGTCAAACAGGTCCATATAACTAGTTTATAGACACTCTTTCAATGCCCGAATTGTAGGACATCTGGAAACGTCGCTTTTCCTTGATACTTTAGGCGGACAGAGGTGGCAGCGATCCAGACCGTAATAAATGTCAAAAAACAGAGTGTGAACGTATTTTGATTTTTTCGCTTTAGGAAACGAGTTCTAGTTTTTACGCATAAGGAAACGAGAATACAAACATCTACAAATTTTAGAAGAAATTTATTGATGTTGTTATATTTATATGAAATGCTTGACTACAGAATAGGTCATATAGAATAATATAGCAGCTCCAAGTTGATATAAAAGAATTCTAGAAGCAGACTCCAGAAAGCAGTATGTTATGGTATGTGCTATTCTGGTAATAGTGTAGATCCTAAACATCATAATCGTAGCATTTACTGAAGGGTTGGTCAGTAAATACAGAAAACTTATTATTGTGAAGAATGGGATATTCTCCAAATCATTCAGATGGGCTCTGTAATGCAAAGGGATAAGTTTTCAAATTATTCTTCACTGGTTCTTACAGAAATGCTTTTTAGAAAAAAAATTGTTTAGTAACGGTTGCAGCTTTCACAGTTTTAGTTACTTTTGGGAGTTAACTATGCTATAAAGATATGCGACATCCATTATGTATCAAAAATTTTATATGAGAACTTGTATAACAATTATTTACAGAATGTCGTTTATCACTATTGTGTCGTTTACCTTCTGTATCTTTCGATTTTTTCATGACTTCTAACTTTTTCCCCCACAAATGCTACATCCTCAGGGTTCATGGGCACCTTTAACAAACGATTTTATGTTCTTATTCATAATAATACAGTGGACTAATATATTACCGAATTAGACTTAGTATACCTTCTATGTTGTCTTGCATTTGGAGAAACAAAATATTTCTATTGGGTCATCCATATAATAACAATTGATAGCGACCGTCAGATGGAGAAACATTAAATCATATATGTTTAATCCATCTGAAAATTTATAGAACATGAAGATTTATTTTTATACAGTTAAAAGCGCGGAGTGATAATTCTGCTTCGAAGTGTACACAATGAGTATTTTATTCCCAGTTCTACCTAGGTTGTATCGCACTTTCCCTAACACAGTTCTAGCAAGGCCGCTGATCCCTCCTTTGCTACAGCCACTTCTCATAAACAGGTCAATATTTATTACATCATCATAAGGCGCAAGTGTCGATAACACTATCTACTTTGCTATTACCACTCGCTGTGATAAATACTTGGAACACGCGAACATCCGCAAAAATATTTTCGAAATCCTAATTTCAAAATCACTTCATTTTGCTCAACCGACTGAAATCAATATTACAAGGTGTCTGGACCCCTTCTTTAAATAGACTGCATACAATGTGTTTGGTCACGACATACCGATATTTGAGGGGGATATCTTTCAGCTATTTTTATCAACAAATCCACCCCTACAATGTCCTAACTCACCCCCCTAGAAATGGATCCATACCGCTGCGAACAAAATTAGGGCTGACACGGATATGGTCTGCCGCCCAACACGACACATTATTTTAAGAACAACAATGTGCATAACCAATAATGGAGGACATTGTGAACAGCTTCTGTAACATTAAACATGTCCAAACTCTCTATAAGAAACATTGATTTGTCATTTTTATGAATAAAAAGTTTGAAAACAATTTGCATTTTATTACACCCATTTTGACCCATGTTGAATAGCATTTATTGCTTAACGTAGAATACTTGGGAAAACAAAAAGCTGTAGAATTAGCACAAAAAAGTACAACTTCACTGACTAGTTTTTGAATGGTGTGCGGTAATGCACAAAATAATCAATTTTCTTCAATATTTTTTTCTGTTTTAAGTATGTTTGACGGTTAGTATCAAAACAAGTTTTTCAATAATCGCTAGGACAACATGCCGTGGTACAAATAACACCAAATATATCATTCTGTGACACTTACGTACTCAGTTATTACAATTTTCATACATGCACTAGTGTAATCGTCACGTAAAAATAAAAATGGCTGGATGAGGTAGAACATTGTAGGGGGTGGATTTTTCGATAAAAATAGCTGAAAAATACCCCTCTTAAATATCGGTATGTCGTGACCAAACATTGTAGAATATAAATAAATATTACACAATACTTACACGATAGTAAATTCTAGACCATCCGGTCAACGGAATCATTAATATTGTTTTCATAAACAACACACTTGTATAGAAAATCCATGTTTCTATCAAAACATTGTTTATGTTCAAAGTATACATTTTCACCCAAATTGTTGGTATGAAGCACACAATCTCTAACGTACTAATAAAAGAATCTCTCGATGAGCAGTATCGCGTTTAAAATCTGACCTTGCAATTTATATAACTACCTTTAGACACTAGACTCTCGTTTAGTTGTGATTATGTTGTTATTTATGTACGTAATTTAGTTGAATGTAGCTATTCAATGATTGGGATATATCGGAGTAACAAGCATATTTGGTTAACAAGTCGAACTGCTTAGATAACTGTATTTGAAAATGTATCTAAAATATTATATATAACCTCAGGAGAATTCCAAACCATACTCAAAGCAATGAAAAATGACTCCAACTCTTTTCTAAGGCAATGTGGTCACAAAAAATCAAAAATTAGTAAAAACTTATGAAAAACAAAGCACAATCGTACGCATGTCCGCAATAAAGGAACAAGATTAGAAATAGAAGAAACCCCAGCGACCTATGTTTCTGCTTGGCTTCATCAGGCTCAAATGGGTGTGTATCAAAAGCACCGAAGTGAAAGCCTATGTCCATCACATTTGGATACGGGTATTACCTTAAGGAAAACCAGGATGGAAAGGGAATTAAAAAAAGCAGCCACCACCAAGAGCCAGCAGACACATTAGTGGCTTCGGTCAGAGAACCTCGTATTTACGAGGCAATAACTAACGTTGCCACGGAGGCCAGCTAGAGCTACCTGTCGTGCTACATCAAACACATGAGTTTTCTGGTTTGTTGAAGCCAATAAGCGAAAACGTACGTCGCTCGGGTTAACAATCCTTCTGCTCCTTTTCCTTTATTGCGGACATACCCACGATTGTCCTTTAATTTTCATCTAGTGGTCCGCAAAACTACTTGTCTTTCTTGTTATACATTCTTGAAACCTGTGTGGTACATGTAACACGATAACTTTGATATAATCTGTATAGAAATTTGAATGAACGCCAACACTTTTTTTACTGTAACAGTTGTTTCACATTTCCGATACCTTTGGAACAAAAGGGCGAACGTACCGTCCAGTTCTCCATGTGTGCCTGACTTGGGTATTTTCAATCCTATTCAGAATACGTTTGCCTGGTATTCGAATACTTTCGAATACATTTGTGTGTTTGGTATTTGGTATTCGACTGAATACTTTTTTGCTTAGTACTCGGTATTCTGGGTTCTGAATAACATTTCTGAATCCAAATATTCGAGCTCACCCAATTTGTATTCAAATCCCGGTATTCGAATCCTGTATTGGAATCCTGTTTTCGAATATTGTTTGGCTATTCTTGTGAATATTGGCTTTTGTTTATGTGGACGGTGTGGATAGATCGTACGAGATTGAATTACGTATGCACATGCGCTTGTGCGTGTCATTCTGTTTTATAATAAACGTTTATACCTGTTATAATTTGTGTGTGATATCAGATAAATGCCTACCAATCGGTGTACATTGCTTTGGAGAGGATATTACAGATACCAATTTTACTGGGTACACTGTGGAACTATACTAAGTGACATATAAATCCGAACACCCAGTTTAAATGGTTTTATTTTAATAAAATTTTTTATAAGTACTTAATGAAGCATAATAAGTAAATGATAAAAATTTCAAAATGATTACACTGCTTTAAAGCCCTTTGACCTTTAAAAATGTGTGGATGCACCCTGATGTGCTACGCATTCTCCAACGCGCCTAGGCATGCTTCTGATCAGGTGGTCAATGTCCTCCTGTGGTATCTCATTCCAGGCAACCACCAACTCCTCTCGAAGTGCTTCTAGAGTCTGAGGAGGACGTTGCAAATTGAGCAATCTCCTACCCATCATATCCCACACCTGCTCAATTGTGGATAAGTCGGGAGATCTTGGTGGCCATGGTAACAATGTGACATCATTATGTTGAAAGAAGTCTATTGTGACTCTTGCAACGTGTGGTCGGGCATTATCTTGTTGGAAAGTTGGATCTGCCAGGGTGTCAAGATAGGGTAAAAGATGGGGTTCTAGAACTTCGTGGATATAACGCTGCGCGTTCATGTTACCTCTGATGAAGATTAAAGGTGACCTGGAACCATAAGCTATAGCACCCCAAACCATAACTCCAACAGTGTGATGAACATGTCTTTCAATAAAAAACTGTGGATTCCTCCTTTCACCACGTCGCCTTCTAACCCTGGCACGACCATCGTGCATGCCTAAATAAAATCGAGACTCGTCACTAAAGACAATACTGTTCCATTCCTGATCCCAGAGTGACCGTTGTCTGCACCACTCAACGCGATTACGTTGGTGTTCTCGAGTTAAAGGGAGGACCCAGTGTGGCCGGAATGAAAACAAGCCAAAACTTCTCATTCGTCGGTAAACACTTCGCATGCCAATAGGTATTCCGGGTTCTGCAAACCATTCATTTGCAATGGACCTGGTAGTGGAGAAACGGTCCCTTAAGGCCAATAATCTTAGGCGGCGATCTTCACGGTCTGTTGTTCTACGGCGGCGTCCAGTGCCCCTTGCTCTTTGCGTACGGCCTTCTCGAAGCCATGCCTGACAACACCTAACCACAGAGTCTACACTTCTTTGCACCCTAACTGCAATTGCCCGAAAAGAAAGTCCAGCTTCCCGAAGTCCCACTATACGGCCCCTATCAAACTCACTAAGTTGACGAAATCGTACAGGTCTCCGTACTCTAGGCATCGTAACCGATCGTAAAGGATGTCAAGAACCAAAATCCGCCAACGTTGATTCTTTACTGCGGCTGAAATATTCATTTTTAGAGCGTTAGTGAATTAAAAAAAAGCAGTATAAAAACCGGAATGTCCAACTGATAAGGCTGAAAATTGTTTCACTTGTTATTTACAGTAAGATAAATACATTCACCAACTTTTATTAAAATAAAACCATTTAAACTGGGTGTGATTTCATAGGAAACCTGAAAATTACTTTTTTTACTTGTTTTAAGTAGACACATATTGATACATTGCTTTATAGCTTTGTATGAGCTCCACTTCAGCTACTTCAGACAACGTCCACCTATGGGCCTACCGTCCCATTATTTTAGGAATACAAATACAGCTATAACTTACGCGCCCTTTCTTCACCTCTCCTAGAAATTTCCTGATTACATCTTGAAGACATCAGAAGATGAAACATTCGGAAGGAATGTCGTCTCATCTATTAGGTAGCAATCAAGCTGTCGGAGGTTCGATCAAAAAGTACATGTTATTATTTAAAATTAACAAAAGAAGAACGTGTTCCAAGGTCGGCCAGCCAGAGCCAGATGCAGTGTGAAGGCTAATATCCTTTACGCTTCAATTTAAAAGTGCTACTGGGTATACACGGCCGAGATGTAGACCGTCCAAAAAAACATCGAATTAAAATATAGCAGTATCATGATGAAGGCATTAGGAGGCATCGGACTACAGATCAGTGGCTTATCCATGGGAAAATTAAATTCTCAGCCTATTCTAGCCAAGATAGTATTTTTAAACCAATGAGTTAATAACTAGTGCTGCAAATATAAGAGGGTGTTTGGTGCATCGTTTGCCAAATTGAAATGGCGGGCAGGGGAGGTCTTTTTCTATCATCCCAGGTCCCTCAAACAGTTTTTAGCCCAAAGGCATTAATTATGTAGATTTTTAATTTTTTTGTTTAGTAAAAACTCCAAAACGTAAGACACAAAGTGAAATAAAAAAAATAAGGAGTATGTCCACCAATCTTACAAAATCAACATTACTTGACAGCAGCATGTAGTTTTTGATTTATAAACTCACAAAGGGTTTCAAAGAAGAACAAAAAAATGTAAGTTTCAATTTTGAATTTCTGTAAAAAAAACTAAAAGCGTTCACGGTCTTAGAATTCTTTTAAAAACTACTCTAGCTTATCCCGATTCTAATATGGATGCTTCCGCCCTCCTTCCCATGGAATTGCGCACTCGTTGAAATATCTCTGGAGTGTTTTTTATTCTATCACAAGCTGCAACTATCCTTTCTCTTAATTCCTCTACAGTGTTAATGGGACTTGTGTACACTAGTGTCTCAAGATAGCCCCATAAAAATAAATCTAAACTGTTGAGGTCTGGGGACCTTGGTGGCCATTTTTGGGGCCCACCGCGGCCAATCCAACGATTTGGATAAACATATTCTTTCTTATTACTAACGGAACATCATCAAGCAGCAAAGGCAAAAGTTGTTGAAGAAAATTGAGGTAAGTCTGTCCGTCAAGTCGTCCCGGCAAGAAGAATGGGCCAATAAAGTGGTCGCCAATAATTCCTGCCCATACGTTAATCGAAAATTGGTGTTGGAAATGGGTTTCGGTTACGGCATAGTGATTTTCTTCTGCCCACAAATGATTATTGTGGAAATTCTGAATAGCATTTCGAGAAAAATTAGCTTCGT